TCGGCAATTTTATACTGCAATGACATGATATCGTAAAATTTTCAATCTGATCGAGTGCAATTTTTGACGTTTCATTTTATGCTAAAGAGTTACATGGAAAAAATATATTAAACGTGCAAATAACACCATCCTGTATATCTCAATCTGCACTCGTCAACCGTATTCCCCAAGAAATCCATCTTCTATAATATATCTTTCTTGTAATATAACGTTTACTTAAGAGTTTCAAATTCCAAATACTCAAACAAAAATATCCTTCCCGATATCTATGTATGTACAGTCGGTCACGGGACGGTTGCCACAGTTTTTTTTACATGTTTCGAACACACAAAAAATGTTAAACTATGACAAAAATGTTAAACTACGACAAAGTTAATCTATGATTTTCGAACACGCGCAGTAGATAATCAGGTAGTTGTCAAAATTACATATACACATGTAATTTTAATATATACATATCTAATTTTAACTGACCATCTATTGCGCATGTTCGTGAATCATAGGTTTTTCGCGCTGTCTTCTGATGTAAGAAAAAAATTATTGCGACCGTCCCGTGACCGTACATATACAACTAATACATCCACAATATTTTATGTTTTACCTACGATAAGCTGTATCGTGATTATCGCGGCTTCGAATTGCACGAACGTTACGCTCACCATTTCTGAATCAGACACAGTTCTCGGAACGAATGTGTCAATGAATCATGCGTGATTCAAGTCTAGCGCCTGTCTCGGTAGTGATGCTAAGAAGTTACGCGAATAGTACAATCGTTAAAAGAGCACACGATTGCAAAAATTGTTGATAAAACGCGCATATCAATGAAACGCAATTATGTTGAATGTTTATTGGTTCCATAAGACGGCAATCGTAATATATTCCACAAAGATACGATTTCTTTTCAGCATTCGCCACGGTCTCGATGGCATAATAAACATATTTTAAACTTGACTACCTGGACGTTCGATCGACAGAACCGGAATGTTTGTATCGCAGATACCCTTGGATGACATATTTATTAGTATTCAGGCGGTACGTTGCCCCCAATCGCGTGTTTATGTTGTACAGCGGCCATCAAGATAAGACGGGAAAAGAATACCGGGGAAAGATTCGTCACTCATTTCCAGAATCGAGATTCCATGCCGTTTAAGTCGGCCAATTACAATATTTTTCATGTCGCGGAAAAAGTCCACGGTGATCCCGTCGAAGAATCACGCTCTCGAAGACTCACGCGGCGCGAAGATAACACGCAAATATTCGGGGAAAAACGCTAGAAGAATAATCGCGCGTTCGAAAATTCAAAGGTTACTCAAGGGTTACCTTCCGGACACCAATATTGTATCTTTTCCATAGTGTCGCCCCAGTCTTTCGGCGGGTTCTCGTGGACGTCGCCCTGTGATATTTCCACGATCTCTCCCATTGTCGGCGTGGAACGGAATTTCGACACGCGGAATCGCGAGCGTGTTGCCTCCTCGAGGAGATACTCGTTCACTGAAAACGTATCCCGCACGCCGGTCCGACGTAATAGACTAATTACAAGCGCCACTTTCTATATGCTTCTGGTCTAGGTCTACGGTCTAAGTCGCACCAGCACGAATAATTTCCGTCTCGCGCGAACGTGCAATAATAGCGTCGGCGCTTAAAGGCAACGTTACGAGATCAACGCCCGCTCGAATTCCTCACCCGGGAGTGATTTTCGGCGCGATCTCCAACATGGAGTCGATAAAGCGAGATGCCGCCTATCGACGGCTTTCTCTCGACGTGTGTTCTCTTCCTCCGGATGTAACCGGCGATGATGATGTGCGACGAATCTACACGGGAGGACGAGTCGAAAATGCAGAATGAAATTTTATCGTGCAACCTGCTCTGTAGTTTCCAGGGTGAATCGATATGATCCGCTACTTTATCGCACCACTCTCGCAGGGGTTACGCTTGCATGCTCTTTTAGAATTGCATCATACATCGTCACACACGTTTCGGCACGGTGACTGTACAGAAAGTTAGTGAAAAGTGCAATATCGTGTCAAAAGAAATAAGAAAAGCAACGCACAATTAGTTACACGCTGGGGAATTGTGTCGGGAACGTATTTGAATTTCTACAAATGAAATATCACACGCACTTTTTAAACACGTTTTCACAATTGTTCTCGAAACGAGGGTTATTCGAAGCGAGAGGTATCAGTCAAGTTCATGAGAGAGCGGAAGGACACTATTGATATTTCCGTATCTACAGTTATTTTCCGCGAAGATAGTCTCGTGCTCGTTTCCACCGGCGTCGATTAAACCTCAACTTCGAACTCTCTCCGGGGACAAGAGAGGACAAATTCAGATTAAAGTTTGAATCAACGTTGATAGGGACAGGCGTCGCGAGCGGACAAAATCTCATTGCACACGTTCGACTTGTTTCTTTTTTTCCGTTTGTTCTACGCAGAATCATCACCTTTTCGAGTGCGCCACCAGTTGCGGACAGAGTACATACACACACACAGAGGGAGACGATTTTTCGCGCATTCACAGACGACACTTCAAGAGACACACGCCGGTTTCCACGCGATCTCTGAGAGGAACACGCTTTCGCACGTGTCGACACGTCGACTAGCACCGGTGACTAGCTCGCGTCCGGTTTTCGATTCGAATCGGCGCGCTACGAGGAAAGGTCTCACGAAAGCGTTCGTGGAAAGGAGGCGGCGACGACGGCGATGCACCGGCCGGACGACGAGGAGGAAAAATCTCGCCAACGAGAGCCGGCGTGCAGTGACACATCGCGTTTCGCGCGCGTCTTACGTCGTCGCCGTTTTACGTTCGCGTACATTATACATCGGCGAATACGGCCGCGAAATACCATACGAGTCGCCGACGACGACGTGCCGTCGAACGCGAAATCGTACGCGAATGACGTGCCGGTCATTCATGGAGCCCGCCGTCATGCCAATGGAATGCGCGCGTATCATGGTGGCGGCGGGCGAGAGCGCGACCGCCAATCCGCGACCGTCCAGCGCCGGCTCTCGCATCCGTGAGCGATACGCCGCCACGTGACTACGCGGTTTAAATCACGTGACAGCGCGGCGGCGGCTGCCCCCACCACTGGCGCGCTGTTCGCGCCTACCGACGACATGGCGCGTGACGTCACACGACCAGCTGACTGCGCTCTAGTACCGGCGCCCCACTGCCTCGTGGCTCTTCCGGCCGCTGCACTCCGATTCGGATTCCGCTCTCGCCGGATATCCGTGAAAATTCATCCGAGAAGCAGATGCTACTCCCCTTCCCTTTCGAGAACGAATCGAACGATCGCGTTAATTGGAGTCGTCGCTTTCGCAGATGTGTGACCCGATGAAAACGCTTCTCGGGAAAGCAACGATAGTGCGTAACGAGTGTGTGGGAACGCACGTATAAATACTCGCGGCAACTCTAATTATATTGTTCGGAATATAATTAGAGTTGATGCGAAATGCGGCTGACTCGATCTCGGTGTCTTACGTTTACATAGGCACGGTTGTGCCGGACGTAATAACGTTTGCGAAACGTTCAGCTTGTGTAATTGAATTTATCGCAAAGTGTGCCGTCGATAACACGGATGAATTATCATGATTTGACTCGTCGGTTACCGACATGCTCAACATAATTTGTTCAACGTAGCTGTTTTGCTGTCGCAGACAGGTAAGTTTAGTGTACAGAAAGAATGATCAATATAAAAGTAAACGCTCTTGGTGATTCCAAATTAATTAAGAAGAACGGGAAGGTCTACAAGAGCAAGCGCTGGTTAAACATTTTTTCTTTATAAACTACTACTACTACTACTACATTGAAAATGGCTCAAGACAGGACCGAAACGTTTGTTTAATATCTGCTCTATTAACTACGGTTGCGTATTATTTTTACATATTTTTAATTAGTTTCTTGTTCTTACAGGCCTTATCCGCTTTAATAGAAAGAATGATAGTTTTCAGAAGTAAATCATTGTTTTGTCTCATTGCATTGCGTGCGAAGTACTTTTGTGCAATCGAATGTTTTACTTGAGCTTCTGTGGTCACAAGATTTTAAACGACGACTTTTCTTTAATACAGATAAAAAGTATACGTCATTTACCGCATCTTCCGATATTAGTCATCATATATCTTTGTAACTGAAATTATCTTGTAGTTCCCTTATCTTCGTCGCTAACTACTCGAGAGCCTCGACATTTTAATGAAAAAGTTCTTTCCAATCCCAACCAAAAAGTGCAGTGAAAATAGTTTATATTCCAATAGATTTAGGACGCTCTGCATTGCAGTAAGCTGAAATAATTTACGTAATGATCGAAGATGGCGCTCAGCGTTGCATAGAATAAAGAAAATAGAGATAGAGAGACGCTATCTCTAATATTTTCATTGTGATTTATCAAATTACAAAAATACCGCTAACTTTGCACGCTCAATTCTCGATGGATTCATATGCACGGGGAAAAATTAGTCTTATAAATCAAGAATAGATATTCTCATGTATAAGCAAAAATATTATAATCTTCTTAGAAGACTTTTAGTCTTGATTTGATTGAATTTATATTGATACAAACATTACTTGAACTCAATTCAAGATTAAAAATCTTCTAAGAAAATTATATTTTTGCTTATGTACGAGAATATCTATTTTTGATTTAAGATTTTTTTCCATATAGTTACACTTTGGTGGATTTAAAATAACAATTAACCCTTTGAGTACTGAATTATTTTAAGATTTTTATGCCCATGGGACGGATTTAATTTGTCGCTATATGGATTAATATGTAAAAGTAATACATTTTATGCCTAAGTAAGCAGGTGACGAGTCTCACTCGTCAAATGTACCGAAAGGGTTAATCAGGAGGACAAACGGAGATTAGTACGTGATATTCGTGGCTAGATTGCCGCGTTACTGAAGGAACAAGAATAACTTTAATCTCATAGGAATCTGATAATGTGTCTTCTTCATCCATTAATCCTCTCAATTATTACGCACGATTAATGTAGTTGAGTAATACTCACCAGAATCGAAGTCAGCACCTCCAGCATCCATACCGCCTGGGTTGCCATATTCTGGTAAAATAAATAAAAACGCTATGAATTAATAAATAACAAAAAGAGAAAAGAAATAGGTTCAATTAACTTTTTAATGGTAAGGTTGGGATCGGATGCGACCTCATGGCTCGTTTACAGCATGCATGCGCTGTTTTTCTTATTGAGAAATGTTTCATATTATTATTTATCTCTTTTATCCATTTCGCATATTAATTATATGAAAAATAAAACAGAGCACAGTGTCGGATCTAAACCCACTTTTTTGAATATTTAAAAAATCTACCTTGCCGTTAGAGGATTACAATAAAAAAATACGAGATATCGCGAGGTTCTATTTTCAATGAGACAAATTTCACTGAAAATTGTACAACAAATATAATGTAAATAACATCCTATTCTCGATTAACATTTTTGGTAGGCCATAAAAAATGTCTAACAGAATAACATATTACAAGGCAGCTGTGAAAATAGAAATTCGCTGCTGACGTATATCTTATGCTGTTGTATTTTTACATATTTCTTCATAACATAATTATATATATATATATATATATATATATATATATATATATATATA